TGAATTCCCACTTTACATGTTCCATTTTTGTATCTTGAACAACTATTTGTAAAACGACAACATCAACTAGTAATTTCTTACTGTTTATTTTTTTCTCTGAATGTATGTATTATTTCTACCTATTTTCCGTTTTGTTTAGTCTTTCTTTAAAATTAAAAAAAATAAAGAAGATCTAATTAATTGAAAGAAGCATTGTGCTACTGGATAAGAAGATATTAATTTATTCTCAAATTAATCTATATAAGCAATGCAATTCGAAGGCAAATACTAACAGATTTTTTTTCATTGTGGTGCTGGGGTTCAAACCCAGGGCCTTATGCATAGAAGGCAAGAACTCTACCACTGAGCCACATCCCCTGTCCCCCTTTTTTTGTATTGTGTATCAAACATAGGACCTCACATTTGCCAGGTAGGTGCTGTGCTGCTGAGATGTATCATTGGCCCCTAGCAGGAAATTTTAAAAGAAAGTGTCAAGTTGTTTCTGAAATATATAAAGGACACAGAGCCAAGAACAGTAAAGATACTCCTAAAAAAATTAGGTAGGTGTTAGGGGTGAAGTTGTCTGTACCTAGGGTATCTAGGACAAGGCCATTGCTTCTCTTGAGATTGGCAGGGCCCCATGAAATTTGTGCACAGCTCAGGGAGCTGACACACATGATGAGCTGAGCTTTCCTTGGGAAAATATAGACAGTTTCCTTCTTGTTCTCCATGAAGGCACCAAGGCAAGCTGTTCTGCTAAAGATTAGACACTCTTCCTGTCCCAGATCCTACCCTCCCCTTAAACTCTTCATGAACTTATTGTGCTGATTGTAGAAACAAATGTGCTGTGGGTGCTTGACAGTGCATTCTCCTTTCAGGAGAAGGGGCTCCAACCTAACCTCATATTCTGTATATTGACTCCTGTCTTCATCCTCCACTGTGCTCCCTCCAGAGTTTCAGGAGTTATGCTGGACACGTCAGGAAGGAATCTTAACTTTGTTGGATATGAAGACTTACAGAAAGCTATAACACTTCAGATTGTGCTGGATTGGCACCAGGATGTAGACCAATGACCAGTGTAACAGAGCCACAGATCTCAGAAACAGTCCCAGGCATTCATGATCTTTAATATACAGCAGAGTCACACTAGAGACTTGGCTCAGCTGGGTTTCCAGTAGGAAAAAGTAGATCCATACTGAGTAGCCAGCATTCAATATTAATGCCTGGGGAGAGTTTAAAGGAGGAAAACTTCATTTTGGCTTTTAGAAGTTTTAGTCCTGTGGTTGGCTGGCTCTGTTTCTCTGGCCTTTGCAGGATATCATGGCGGGCGCATGTAGCAGAGGTCACCTCATGACATCCAGGAGAGAGAACAAACAAGATTCCTTCTAGCAATATACAAGGATATGCTCCCAGTGACCTGTTTACTCCAAGTAGGCCCTACCTCCAAAGTTTTCACCAATAATACTATAACGTTATACATATATAATTGGATTAATCCATTGATGATGAGCTCAAGGCCCTCATGATCACCTTCCTGAAGTCCCTTCTTCTGAATGATGCTGCACTGGGGAATGAGGCCTTCAATGCAGCTTTTGGGGGACATTTCAGATTCAAGTCATCACACACACCATAGACACACACATACAAGCACACACATACACGCACATACACGTGCACACACATCGAACCTAGATGAATTGAGGACTTAATGTGAAGGATAAAATTTTAAAGTTTGCAGAGTAGATGGAGAGAAATAGATCTCTAAAGCTATTACTCAGCCTTGGAGATGATGTGACACCATGGGTTTGGAAAGATCTGGCTAACCCCTATCCCTGCCACTTATTAGTACGTGACTTGCTCACTCTGAGCCACCCTGTTCTATCAGTAAAACTTAATTTTCATCATGCCCTGGGACTGTGGCTCATGAATGAGAAAATGGTCACGAAAGCTCTTTGAGATCTTCAGCATGAAAGAGACAGAAGGGCTAATTTCCACTTCTCCCACACTCAAAAATCCTTCCCATTCTATTTACCCCACAGAATCCAAACCTCCTGGGATTAAATGTGATGGAGGGTGATTCAAGCCTATAATACTAGCACTCTGGGAGGCTAAGGCAGGAGGATTGCAAGTTTGAGCCCAGTTTGGACAACTTAGAGATGTCTCAAAATATTAAAGATGGGGAGAGAACAAGGACTCACCAAGAAGCAAGTCTTTCTTGCAAACCAGTGTCATGCTCAGACCACTGCCAGTGGGGGGACAGCCAGACTCAAGTCTTTCCCCATGAGTCAGCACCATTCATGGACTGCAGGGGGAGGGAACAAGGCCTCATCAAGAAGCAAGCCCTCCCTGCAAACCAGCACCATTTGTGGGCCACTGCCCTTGGGGGAACAGCCAGACCCTGAGCCCCTACAGCGTGCAGAAGGGCAAATAGGAAGAGCCAATCCTCCCCACTCCCCGCCCCAGTAAGCGACCAGCTGCTCCAGAGAAACACAGGCTGTGATGCAATTTGATGCTTGTGGTGTTTTGGTGTTTCACTGACCTTGCAGGTCTGGGGCCAGTGGTCTGATTATCTACTCAGAACATGGTGGTACACAGTGTGGCACCTAGGGGGGATCTCCTTCTGATGGTGGTAGCCATTGTTCATTTCCTATTGTCTTGTTTTGAAGTCCTGTATCATTTTTATTGTTTTGTTGGGTTGGGTTTTGTTCTGTTTTGTTTTGTTTATATCAGATGGCATGGTCAGCTATTTCGAAGATAGCAAGATGTATTATGGTAGCCATTTTGGATTTACGATTGTCTTGTTTTGAAGACCTTTATTGCATTCATTGTTTTGTTTTTATTGGTTCTATGCTGTTTTGTTCTGTTTGATTTTCACTATGTCCAAGGGTATCTGCAGGTATTTTGAGGACAGCAAGGGGCATTATGGTAACTATTATTGATTTTGTATTGCTTCAAAGTCCTGGGTCACTTATACTGGTTTGTTTTGATTGGTGTTATTGCTTTATTTTCTTCGGTTTTATCCTCTTTAAAATAAAAAAATTAAAAGTGGGATGGGCCTGGGATATAGTGTTGCATCTGTCTGCATTCTAGTTGGTCCCATGGGGAAGGACAGTGAATCGCTGGAGAAACAAAGGTAAGATACAGAAAGCTGAGTTGGGTAGAGCTCTCTCTCCTGAAGGGAGGAAAGGAACTGTTCAACCACTGCAGGGCTTTATTTACACACTGGGGAGGTTGATTCCAATTTCAACCCCTCTGTTTTGCAACTTTGTATGACTCCTGCTCTTGGAGCCAGAACAGTTTACTTGGAGCTGGAGCAGCTTGTTTGCTTGGCTCACCTGGGGCTCCATGTTCTTAGGGCTGGCCTTGCTTTAGCCCTGCATGTGCAATTGACCTCCAGCTTCAGCTGTTCCTCACAACCTAGTTCAATGTTAAGGCCCTGAGTTCAGTAATCAATACTGAAAAAAAAAGGGGGTGATGATAAGGCATGCAGGACATCAGGGCTACCATGCAGGTAGGAGACAGAAGCCCCTTTCTGACGCTATCTGGGAATCCTCCTTCCCTTCAGTGGTCCTTATCAGTTCAGTGAATCTCTCCTGACGTTCTCAGGTGCCCATGAGCCCTCTGCGACTCCAACAAGTTACACCTTACCACAATGCGGTGGATACTTTCCTTGAGTCCTGGCAGATGTGTGTGTGTTGAAGCCAAACTGCTTAAGAGGCTGCAGTGCAGATCTCATCTGAGGTGGCAGAGCTTAGATAGCTGCACATGCAGGCCAGGGGTTGGGTGCTAAAGAAAACTGATCCAAGCCTTGAAGAAAATGTAAGATGCTAACAAGCACTGGAGAGCTCAAGCCCAGCCTCACTGTGGCTTTCCTCAGTGTAGTAGTCTGCCAGCCAGACTCAGGTAGATGCTGGGTGGGTGCTGAGTGGGGCAGATGAATTGTGGCCATGACCAGAGGGAATTCCATGATCTAGCAAAAGAGAAGTCTTTTCAGCCACACCTGAGGAGCGCCTGGCTTCCAGACACTCAACAACACACTACACACTCAACAACAGCCTTTTCATTCCAGCTCCTCCGATGTCCCCATGTCCAGGTGTTTGCTTGGAGATGCCATGGTAACCATGATGTCACAATGGAACGTCATTCTTCCTGAGGTAGAAGGAGAAACTCCTCTGCTGAGCGTTGCTGTGTAAGGTCAGAGCAGGTTCATTTCTTCTTTAGTGGCAGAGTTCACAGAAGAGCCCCAAGGACTATCCTGAGAACAAGAACCATCCAGTGTCATGAAGGGGACATGGTGATTTAGAGCTGTGCATGGCTTATTAGAGGCAAGCGCATTGGTGTGGGGTGTGGTGAGGGGTAAAGCACCCAAGGGCTTTGGATTCAGGCATAGTTTGTGACCTTGGATTGGTGGTTACTCAATGAGCATCAGTTTCTGAATCTGTAAAATGGGGATCATGAAGGCATCTACCTCCAGGGGTGCTTGTGTGAATGATCTAAGCTAAACGCTGGGGCTGTTACTGTGTTAAAGCACATGGACTATTACTAATGAAAAAGTAATCCCAGAATTTTTAAAGCCAGCAGAATTTTGTAAGAGGGTTAAAATCATGGGGAGACTTTAAGGCCAGGGTGAGCTTCCACCAAAACCCTGCCTTTTCTTTCAGCAGCATATTATGACTACAGAGTTAAAGCAAGAGTCGAATTCCACAAGTCAAAAATCAACCCATTTTAGAGACCCAATTCTCTGGGACATCCAGGGATCCGGGTTGGATTGAGAAGATAACTGGAAAAAAGGCTGGCTGCCTCTGTCGGCCTTCCTACCGACTGCTAGTTGACTATTTGTGCCAGACGGCTGGTTCCTGCCACTCTACTGCACAGAAGCAAGCACGGGAGATGTGACAAGTTGGTTTCCATGTCTTAGAACCTTTATGAGTAGAAAGGAAAAGACAGGGCCTCTGATGCTGGGGGACGGGAATTGCCACTTTGGGGAAAAGACGAAAGCCCTGGGTGTGTCCGCGGAGAGGATGGGGCCAATAGACCTTCTCTCTCCCCAGCTGCCCATGGTGTCCACAGAGGTTCCATCTGGGAATGGCAGAGATAAGAGGGGTGCTGCTGGTGTTGCTGTACGTGTCCCACTCTTCTGCCAGTGAGTACACAGCATTCTTCCATGTGACTTTACGTAGCCTGTGTGGCCTGGCAGAGGGAATCACTTAGGAAAATGAAGGGCTCCTTAGTGTTCAGAGAGGAACGCGGGTAAAGACGACTCACAGCCTTTGATCCTGGTAGTATGTGTTGGTGGCAGGAACCAGGCAAATTAGAGACCCTTGGGGCATGGATGTAGGTCACCAGCTGCTGAGGCTGACACCAGGGCTAATCCTGAGGGCAGGAGAGGATGGTTGGCTACAGAAAGCAGGAGTTGGCATGAGGCCTGCCTCAGTCTACCCTGCCTTCTGCAGACTGTGAGCCCCACTGCCTCCAGTGGCAGAAGTGTCAACTGTGGTCCCCTCCTCGCCTGACTCTAGGTTGTTTAGAAGAATTAAAAAGTCCAGCCTAGAAAAGGTAAGAGGGACAGGGGACAGCCCACTAAAATAGGCTCTGTCCTGCCTCGCTGTCGGCTCAGCTGGCTCTGTTCTGCCTTCTTGGGGTCAGATGGGAGACTCAAGAGAAACACATGCACACACACACACACACACACACACACACACACACTGCATTTCCTCAGCCGCCTCTACCACCTCTGCCTCCTTGTAACCCCAAAGAGATCAGAAAACTGTGGGAAAACACAGAAAGGGTCTTTCTCCCTTTAGAAAGCTAAGGTGACTTTGGACAAACATTTTGTCTCAGAGTCAGATTTGCTCGCTATCTCCTGGTCTTCCATGGATTTAGCAAGATCCAGTGAGCGCTTTGAGGAATGAAAATCAAAAGTCACCACACACATTTAACACTGGTTAACACTGGCTCACAAATTATAACATAGATTGCCAATTCCCAAAGAAAACAATCAGACCTTTATAAGGAATCCTGTCTTTGCTGGTTGCTGAAGCACTGAATAGCCTTCAGCACCATCTTGGTGACAACCAGCTTTGTCATCCATCCAGCAAAGTCTCTAAGGGCCCATTCATGGAGACGTTTGGTCATACAATGTCCCATAATGGAGAGGTCTTTTGTGGTCTTTCCATGATACTCAGGTTTGGAAGCTATCTTTAATGCTTATATCAAAAGTCACTGCTATGGGGAAGCCCTCCCAGGTGGTAAGCCCTGGGATAATTCCTGTCTCCTCCTCTGTACCCTCAGGGCACACTCCCTTTCCTCTTCTCTCTCTCTGTAGCTGTCACTCAGTAGCCTGTCACTCAGTGACACAGACTCCTGAAATCCAGGCCTTCAGACTAGTCCCCAGCCTAGAGCCTGGCAAGATTGAGTGTCATACGGTTGAAAATAAGTCACCAACCTGTACAGTCCCCTGAGGATACCACCCAGAATCTCTTATGCCAAAGCAGATCCCCTCCTTTGAGAAAAGAAGTGAGGTGGCAGTTAATGGCCAGCAGGAAAGGGGCTTGGGGGCTGGTGGATGGTGATGACCCCAAGGACAAGGTCCTTGCAGTGAGGTCCTGCACTACCTCTGCAGGTTGCGGCATCCAGAAAACCCCACTGGTGGACGAATCCGAAGAGAACCTGGTCAGCGCCATGGAGTTCCCCTGGGTGGTGTCCGTGCAGGACTCGCAGTACACACATCTGGCATTCGGCTGCATCCTCAGCCATTTCTGGATCCTCAGCATCGCATCCGCATTGCAGGACAGGCTAGTACTCTTGTCCTGGGGCCCAGGCAGGTTCCCCCATCTACTGCTTCCCAGCTTTAATTACACTCAGTCTCAGCCTTGGAGTCTTTCAATCACGTCTGCTCTGAGGACTGCAGGCAACATGGTGATGAACCACCAAGTGTACGGTGAGAAGCAGCTCCCCTGCCTTGTCCCTCGGTTATTAGCATCTCTCTTATGCCATGCCCGTCACCAGTGTCCTGGATATTTTCTATTAGATTCTCAATGCACTCATGGATATTTATATAGCTATGAGTCTGGTTATATTGATGTTTGCATCTGTTGGACTGAGAATTCTCCTCCTTCTTGTGTTAGTCAACGTGGGCTGCCATAACAAAGTATCATAGACTCTGTGACTTGAACAACAGAATGCCTTTCTTGCAATTCTGCTTAGAAGTCCAGACCAGAAGATGTCCACGGGTTTGTTTTCTCCGAGGCCTCTCTCTGTGGCTTGCAAGCAGTTGCTTTCTAGCTGTACCCTCCTGTAACCTTTGCTTTGTGTGTGCATTCCTGCTGTGTCTTCTTCTCCTCTCCCTCCCCTTCCTCCACACCTCTTCCGACCTCTTCTCCTCCTCCCATTCTCTACCCCTCTCCTCCCCTCCCTTCGCCTGTTTCCTCCTCCTGTTTTGGGAATGGAGCCAGAGCCTGGTGCATGCTAGGCAGGCACTGTGCCACTGTGCAACATCTCCAGCCTTCTTCCTTTTCCTAAAATGACACCACTCAGCTTGGATGGGTGCCCAGCCTGACTTCACTTAACCTTGGTGATCTCCAGCTCCAAATATGGTCACATTGGAGGTCAGGGCTTCCACTTAGGATTTTGGAGGGTTACAGTTCAGCTTATAACATTCTGCCATCCCCAAAACTCATGTCCTTCTGCCTCATCCCATGGCCCCCAAAATCTTTTCTTGCCAATCAGATTTTATTGGTACATTTTAGGTATATGTAACGATCACATTCATAGAGAATTTGTACCTGTACATGATGTAACTTATTTTTTCCCATCCCCTTCCCTTCCTTTCAGCCCCCCTCGCCTCCCCATCTATAAAAGCTGTTTCCAGTTTTTCTTTTCTCATTTTGTTTTCTACTTTTCCTTTCTTTCCTCCTCCCCTCTACTTTGTTCTCCTCCTCATTTGAACATTTTCTTCCTATTTCACAATACCTAGTATTACATTTTGGTCCTAATTTACACTTTTGGTCTCTCATACCAGAGAAACACTGTGGTGTGCACACACCTGTGTCCAATTTATTTCACTTAAGCGTGTGATCTCAGGGTGCATTTATTTACCCAGAAACATCTCAAACTTATTTTTCTTTATGGCAGAGTAGCACTCTATGGTATACAAAACCCCACATCTTCTTTATTCACTCACAGTTGGTGGGTATTTGGGCCCCAAATCTTAACCCAAGAGCATTAATTCCAAGTCCAGAGTGTCGCCTAAACCAAGTAGGCTGAGACTTAAGGTTTCATTTATTCTAAGACAAAATTACTTTCCAAATAGGAGACCTGTGAAACCACACAAGTTATGCGCTTCCAAAATGCAATCGTTAGGACAGATGTGAAATAGATATTCCTACTGCAAAAATAACAAATCCAAAAGAAGGCAAGGATGATTTGTCCCAAGCAAGTCTAAAACCTAGCAAGGATATGGCACAGTTGCTCTATTATCCCATGCTGTAGAAATCAAGAAATTCAACAGCCATCCCTCATTTTGTCCTGTTTCTGTTTCGTTTTTTTTTTCCAAACTGGCTGGGTTTTTCCTGATATGATCCATAATCTCTTTATCAAGTAGAAATCTAGTCATACCCTTAAGATTCTTTACAGGACATGATGTTTTTATTTTTTGCAATGTGAAGAGACTAAAAGTTTTCTAAATCGTTACATTCAGGTCAATGTTTGCTTAACAATCCCTTCTTCAAGTCATGGCTTTCTTCTTGTGTTTTAATATAAGTAGTAGGGAGAAACTAGGCTACATCTTCTATATTTTGCTTAGAAATCTCCTCAGCTAGAGTCCCAAGCTCATTACTTTTAACTTCTTTTCCACAAAATTTAAGAACATGATCTAGCCAACTTGATTTGTTTTGGTTTGTTTGTTATGACTTTAATGTAAGGATTATCTTTCTTCCTGTTTGAGAGACATCGCTAGAATCACCTTTACCACTCAGCTTTCTACCAATAGTCCCCTGGCTGTCTAGACTTTTAAAACATGTTTCTCAAAACTCTTCCGGGCTCTGTCTATCACCCAGTTCCAAAGCTGCTTCCACATTTTTATCTATTTGTTACAGAACACTCCACTTTTCAGTGTCAAAATTTGCACTAGTCTGCTATGAGTGACAATAAAACATTGTATCTCCTAGTTCTGGGGCTGAAGTCCAAGCCCAAGGTATAGGCAGGTTGGTTTCTCCCGTGAGCTCTCTCCTTAGCTTGCAATTGGCTGCCTTAATGTTGTTTGAATGGCCTTTTCTTTGTGAATGCTCATGTCTGGTATATCTGCCTCCATATATAAGAGTATCAGTCCTGTTAGATTAAAGCCATACCTTTTTAAGCTTAATTACCCTTTTTTGTCAGGCCGGGGATTTTGATTTTACTATTATTTTTACTTTGAGACAGCTTCTTGTTAAATTGCTAAATTGCCAAGACTGGACTCAAATTTCAGATTCTCCTGCCTCAGCTTCCCAGAATGTGGGAACTACAAGTATATGTCACTGTGCTGGGCTACTTAATTATTTCCAGCATGTCTGAATTTTCAAATATGGCTACACTGGATATCAGCTTATGAATTTTGGGGAGGGGAGACACAATTTCATCCATAACATTCTCCAATACAACTGGTAGCACAATGTACACATTATCCCATCTGATCTTTTTCATTTCCAATACATTTTCTTACCAATGCACAGAGAGCCTTCTATCAGAGGCAGTTTCTTATCATGGATAAAGCATAATTGCACGGTAGTGGGTTTTTTTGTTTTTTGTTTCTTTTTTTGTACTGGGGATCGAACCCATGACTTCACACTTGCTAGGCAGGCACGTGGGCCACTAAGCTGTATCTCCAGCCCTCTGCACTGTTTTCTAATAGTGGAAATTTGGGTCATTCTAATCTTTTATAAAAACCAAAACAATGCTGCAATATACTTGTACATATGTCACTTTGCACAACTACTTATGCAATTATATTGTAGCATGAACAAGTCAGGTGTGGGAAGATAAGGCTAAAAAAAGATGTTTATAATCTTTACAGCTATTGCCCTCTAGCCCTGCTCTGAGCTTCTGCTTTCTGTGCAGTGTTTTCAGTATTCATATTTCCTACCTAGCCACTGTTTTGGTTTTGATTTTCTCTTTGAATTAAGGATTTTATTAAAGATGGAGTTTTTAAAAAATCTGTGGATGCTAGAGTTATTTTCTAAAATTATTAATTTTGAGGTATACTGCATAGTGATCTATTTAAGAATTTGTTGACTTATATCCACTGTATGTGTTCCATGAGAATCTTTTCCACCATTAAATTAAAAAGTTGATTCTCTGTGCTTGTTGTATAACTTAGCATGTAGAGTTGCAGCTAGGATTCTATTGGAGCTGTCCTGGTAACAGAAGTGAATTTAAGTATCAGACCAGGAAGACGCTCTGCTTGTGGTCCTCTGTCCCGTAGTGTGTTCTTCATGAGCCCTGTCACTCACTGTAAATGCTCACACCAGTGAGGTCTGCAGACTAAACTCCTTGTCATTACGAACCCTCCTTGTCCCAGCTCTCTTCTGCCCTAAATTGGTCTTCAGAATGTGACTCCTGCTTCTCATTTGTGTTTTTAGGTAGTGTTTTCTGTTTTCATTGCTGCTTGTTTTTCGTTCTGCTCCATGATATTTCTTTTGTTTTAGATGTGTCTGCTGATGAGTTTGGGGAGTTTGTACTTTGACTTTGCTAGATCTATAATGTCATGGAAGACACTAAAAAACCTCCATTCCTTTCTGGGCAATCTTTTTTAAATTGCTATTTTATAATCCCATATTTGCAGTTTGTAATGATGACAGTCCTTGTGGGGAGTTGGTATGTGTACATAACACCATCATTCTTCTTTCATTCCCTCTCCCCCTTCCTCCCCCACTCCTTTTGTCATTCGGTCTCCTCTTTTGCAAAAAGTCTGTCTCCCTGTTTCCTTTTATCTTTTATCTTGCTTTATAATTTATTTGTATTTTGAGTTTCTCATGTAAGAAAAATCATGTGATATTTAAATTTGTCTGTCTGATTTACTTCACTTAACATTATGGTCTCAAAGTGTATCCATTTTCCAACAAATGACTACAGTTGGACAATCCTTTATTTTATTACTTTATTTTATTTTTTGAGACAGGGTCTTGCAATATAATTCAGGCTGGCCTTGAATTCATGGTAATCCTCCTCCCTCAGTCGCCTGCCTTTTTAAACTCTGGTATGGTCAGTGTCAGGATTCCTATCTTTTCACTTCTTTCCTCTTTATCACTCAATTTTAATGGATTATATATGTGATTCAGGGTTCACCTCAATTCCTTTACATACTTATACATTTGTAATACTTTATACATTAGCTGCATGTGAGTAATATGTTTAGGGCACATAAAAGATGATAAAATTGATCTATACACTTATATCTATATTTCCAACTTCAGTTATATACGATCATTACATTCATACATTTTATATTTTTTTCTCCAAAACACTGTTTTTCTTTCAATTTTAGTCCATTGTTATGATGAACTTCATATGTCCTGACCTTTTGCTAGATTTTCTTCACTGCATATTGTGTGACTAAAACTTGTCTTCAAGTAGTTTCTTAAAAGGCTGTCCAGAACCATATTTCCTTTTTCTTTGGATATTCAAAAATATTGCACTGCAAGGTATGGTGGCACAGCCCTGCAATCTCAGCACTTGGGAGGTTGAGGCAGGAATATCACCACAAGTTCAAGGCCAGCCTATACTACATAATGAGTTTAAAACCTGCCTGCAGTACATAGTAAGAACCAGTCTCAAAAAAACAAGCAAACAACAGCAAAAATGTACTGTTCTTTAACTTGAAAGACCACTTAAAAATAAAATTCTTGGCTCACAGTTTGCTTTTGAGCGTTTTATAGGAAGCACCCCATCTGACCCCACCCCCACCCTGGCATCCAGTATTAAATCTTGCTGTAGAGAAGCCTGAGGTCATTTGACTTCTATACAGGTAGGGTGAACACACATCCTTGTGTCCCTGGGAGAGCCTGGTTTACACCTATTACTCTAGCTTTCTGCTAGAGTAGCAGCTCCTTTTTCTTAAGTTCCTTGGGTTAGATAATACAACATATAGCCAAATGTAGGATGGTTTCATCTTTGTTGGTCTGGATACACAAGGATTCTTCCAGGTCTCAGATCCAGCAACGTTACTAGCTATCCCGCCTCTCTCCCATCTGTTCCTCTAGATCCTCTCTGTACTCCCCTGACACTCCCCACTAAGGCCCAGAAGCCTGACTCCTGTGGGTCCCCTTGCATTCAAGTTCCGGCTGGGTTTGGCCAATAGAAGCACTGACTAGAGATCAGGAGTAGGGTCAGTGTCTTCACTGCCCTCAGGGGTCCTGCAGATTGTCTTTCTCTTTCCTCAGCCTACAGGTACCATCAGCACCCTGTTGTGACTTCAGCTTATATCACAGGATGCTTTCCCTGCGTCCTGGCAAAACCTTTATAAAGAATCGCCTAATGAACTCTCCCCAATTTACTTTGAGTGTGCCACCTGTTGCCTATGGACTTGACCAGGTGATGGCTCAGCAGGGTTATTGTGTATCATTTTTCCCCCTGGGGTAGAATATCCTTCCTAATTGTAGATTAAAATCTTATTTCTGGAAAACCTTCTTAAATTATGTCTTGAAATAGTAAATACTTTTGTGGTTTCATTATTTTGGTTATCTTCATTGCGGTCTTCTGGCTTGGAGAAGAGGGTGGTTGAGAGAAAAACTGTAACAAAAAGCCAGAAGAACAAGGTTTAATCTTTGTTAATTTCCATTATATTCTGATCACTTTTCTCAGTTTCCTTTCTACCTCCCTATTTGTGTTTTCCGAAGTCCTTATCCTTTATGTTGCCTCCAGCTTGGTCTTTGCTTTGGTGATGGAGATGGTTTTCTTTTCACCTCTTTGTTAAGAATCTTCTTGACCAGCTTTTTCTGAGCTCAGTGGCAGTGTCATCTATAACTCCGTGAACTCCTGCCATCTCTCCCTGCTTTTGTCTGCCCTTCCCCTCATCCTAAGCTTAGGATTTTCTAGTGGTTGGTCTTATGATGTTTACATCTGCTTCGTATTACTCTCATAGTTCCTTGGGTGATTCTCAAAAGAAGAAATGGTGAGCACTCAAATCCATCATTATTAAATCCAAAACTTCTCCAAAGTGTATTTACAGAGTATATCATTTGAAAAGATGCATGTATTAAGATATTAAGCTCTAAGAGCAGGAGTCATGATTACATAGTTAATACAACTAAAGCTATGTTTCAAAAAAAAACTATAGAAAAAAGTGAACAAGCAGTAACACGTTACCAGATCGTTTTTGGTTGCAAGGACAAACGGTGTTAAGACAGAAGCATCCCCAACATCCTACAGGTTCACAAGGGAAGGGAAGAAGCCTTCCGGGGGTTCAGAAAAGATTTCCAAGAGACTAAACCCAAAGCAGTGTGCAAAACCTGACCCAGGGAAGATGAGCAGGGTGAGCATTCTGGGTTGAACACATGGTAAATAGAAACACAGGGGCATGTGAAGCACCCTTCCTGTCTTGGTTTCTCAAGATTCCTCTGCTGTCTCTCTCTCTAGGAAGGAAGTGATCGCTGTGGTTGGGATAGCTAACATGGATCCCAGAAAGAATGCTTACATAGAGTACCCGGTCAGCACCATCATCATCCACGAGGACTTTGATAACTACTCCATGAACAATAACATAGCCCTCCTGAGGACAGACTCGACGATGCATTTCGATGATCTGGTCCAGTCCATCTGCTTCCTGGGGAAAGAGCTGCCTGTCCTCCCAGCCTTGCAGAACTGCTGGGTGTCAGGATGGAATCCCACATCTGCAGTTAATGCAATCCTTCTCCTAGAGGAGGCTGTGTGTGTGCTGGTGGTGGGGGTGACTTGGATGAGCTGTTCTAGGGCTTCTCTTAACAATTCAGGTTGTTTGAGGTTCTAGAGTTGGGCTGGAACTTCCCATAATCAGGGGAGATTCCCTGTGCTTGCCTTTCTGGAGCCTTCCTTACATTATGTTACATCACTGTCTTCTACTTATGTCCAGTGAGCTGCCTAGAATTTGTATCAGATGAAGCAAAGCTGGTTGCTGCTTTGTGCTAAATCATCTCTGTTTTCTGTCATTCTCCAGAAAGAAGCAAGGACACAGAGATTCTTTAGATGAGGAGGAAGGGCACAACAAAGATAGTTTGCAGGGTGAACTCAGACATATGTTCTGGCTTCTATGAAGGAAAGAGATTTATAGGAACGTGTATCTACTTAGGTCCATTTGTATATGGGAGTTGCAGTTGCACTGACTTAGGGACTGCCTTCTTAGTAATTCATGGGCTCTGTGTTCCATGGTCCAGACAGGAAATCACATGACAATGAGTATCCTGAGGAGAATCTCCGTGAAAGATGTCGACCTGTGTCCCCTACCCAAACTCAAGAAACTAGGCTGTGGCAGTCACACAGAACGGGAAACTGATACCGTCTGCTTGGTAAGACATGATATAATAGAAGCTAACTCCTGAAAACAAGCATTGGTTATGTCCGCAGGGCAGTGGACAGAACCATGAGGGCAGGGCCTATGATCTGGGATTCCTGGATGTCTCTGAGGGCAATAGCACTTGGCACAAAGCAAGTGTGAGATAAAAATCTGCTGAATGGACTAACCAGTTATAATTTTCTCTGTAACCCGATTAAGCGTATCTGAGTTACAGATGATTGATTATTGACTGCTTGATGGTACAGAAGATTGAACCCAGGGCCTACACACTGAGACACATGCAGTGCTTATTTTTTACTTTTATTTTGAGACAGGGTCTTGCTAAATTGCTAAGTTGGCCAGGCTAGGTTTGAACTTTCAATCCTCCTGCCTCAGCCTCCCAGAGTGCTGGGATAACAGTTATAGATCACAATGCTGGCAACAGATGTTCCGTAACAAGCTAAAAATATGAAAATGTAAGTCCAAACTCTATATGCACATATACTTCACACAGGTCTATGGTGTGGGAGTCACTGTGTCTAGCATCCTCTGATGCCACTGTTTATCAGACACTGGAGTTTCCTTCTGTACAGATATGGCTGTCCTACTGTCTCACGATAGGGTGAAGAACCCACAGACACTTGTTTCCACCCCCTCCCCCACCACAGTTTTCAAACTCAGAGGAAACCCCAGCCCAGTGTATGCTCCTGGGAACTCTGGCTCTGCCCATCCCACTGGGACTGCAGATGGGAGGGAGCAGGTTAGATGGAAGAACGGAAGCCAAATGAGAGAAAAAGGTGGAATTAATTCCAAGCCAGGAAAGAAAGAAATATCAACCTTTGAGAGAGAAGAAGTCAAAGGAAGGGATGATTCTTGTCAAAGGACTAGAAAGGGCCAAGAAAATGAAATACAAATCAGGAAGCTATAGGCAATCTTCAGGCTCCTACAAACAATTTGTATCATAAAATTAAAGTCACCATGTTGGGATTTGTGGTCATAGTTTTCTAGGTTTGAAATAGTATCCTGTAACTTGCCCTATTTCCAGGGAGAATCAGTTTAAGACATTTCTAGAACAATAATAAATTGCACAAGAATCTACTAAGAAAGAAAACAAGTTCTTTTCTGGGGCCTGAAGTCTTCTGTCCTTTGTCACAGGGGGAGCCAGGAAGCCCCATGATGTGCCAGCTGAAGAATTTGGATCTATGGGTCCTGAGAGGGCTTCTGACCCATGGTGGTGAGAAATGCCCTGGTCTCTATCTGTACACCAAGGTGGAAGACTACAGCGACTGGATCACATCCCAGGCCAGCCACGCCGGCCCTTCCCTGTCTTCGCTCCATCACTGGGAGAAGATGATCCATTTCTCCCACCACAGAGTCCCTGCTGTCGTGACGCGGAATGTATATTCTCAACACGTCCATGTTGGATGGTCCAAATCCTACCTCCAAGAACAAAGAAAGACCGTTGCACCTTTACAGCAAGCAAACAGTTCTAGCTCCAGACATGTTCTAGATAATAGGATAAAGGGTCTACAGCAACCAGGCCATCCTGCAGAAGTGCCTTTTCAACCCATGTACTATGACTACTATGGTGGGGAAGCTGGGAAGGTGTCTTTTGCAGGTCAGGACACAGTGCAGCCCCAAGGAATCATCTTGGTTTTCTTCATGCTTATTTTCTTTAGCAGCAGTGTGTAGATCTAGGAGCAAACCTACCAAACTGAAGAGAAAACTCAGAATGCTGAGTGCCAGGTCACCATGCTGTTGTGGTACCTGGTTTTGACAGTTGCATGCCTGGGCTGCCACGGATAGACCCATGGCATGCACCGGGCTGGCTCTCCCTCCTCTGTCCCACTCCCGCTTGTGGGAAGGTCACTTTCATTTATGCTTGTGAACTAAATGTCAAACCATTAGAGTGCCCTGTGGTTCTTTCACCGGTGTTAATGGCTCAGGCCAGGCTGTGAAGACAGTCCCCGGCAGCAGATGTGGCCAGGAAGGTGACAATTGGCATGGCTGGGGAATGGAAGACACCAGCCACCACAGGGAACACAGTGAGAGGATCTCATGATTAAAAAAAAAGTTGAATCATTTAATGGATCACTTCTTGTCTGCAAGCTGTGGCCTAACCCTGGTTATTTCCCAGGGGAGAAATCTGCCTGCAACTGCTCATTGGTTATTTTCATTCTATTCCAAGCCTTGCGGTAGCCTTTTAAAGACATCTGCAAAAGGGAAAGAGGGGGAGGGAAAGAAAGTCACTTAGTGTGCCCACTCCAAATGCAACCGTCATCCCTCCCTGCTGATGGTACAGGTGACTTTCTGGGAGGCAGGGCCCTTTCCTGTATTTGCTGCGCAGGGGTCACTAGGAGCAGCACCCACCAGGGAGTCTTCTAAAGAATATGTTTCTTTTCGGTGAAGAAAGTGCAGGGTTTTGTTGCAATTTGGTGCCACTTCTCAGTTCCATGTTAACGTGCCCGTGTTTGACTCCTAATTTATTCCCTGCCACCAAATGACCACAGCAAAACGAAGATGTGACATGGAAAATGCAGCCAGGACCTGGATGTGAAGTACCAAACCTATTTCCCAAGCAGTCTGACTGGGGTGTTTTATCATAGCTGTTGATGTCTAAGTATTAAGAATTGAACATAGAGCCTCATGCGTTAGGCACAAGTTCTACACTAGGCTGCATCTCGAGTTAGGGTCTCTCTAAGTCACTAAATTGCCCAGGCTGGCCTTGAACTTGCTGCCCTCCAGTCTCAGCCTCCCACTACATCCAGCTCTCAGGCTGGGTTTTAAACTACGCTAATGACATCTTTTATAGACCTCAGTTTGTGACCTGGCTGTGGCAGTCTCAGTCTGCTCCTTGTTTCTGAAACAAGCATGTTGTTTTCACGTTCCCATTTCTCTCCTGCAGCTCACAGGGTATTTTCTGTGAGTCCTACACCATGCTCAAAGGCTACAGGATTAGTTAAAAACTCAAACATTCATAGCAGCTATATAAACACTTGGAAATAGATTTCCAATGATATTAAAAATCAATTATTTTATTTTTATTTAAAAAGCTTTTTTCATGTATACAGTAACAAAAACTAAATTACCCATAGTGCAGAAAGATTCAGAAGTTTCTAGAATTCATTAACAAGCAACTAAAAACATAGTATTAGTAGAGTATCCCCCTGATACCGCAAAAGGCTTTGTCCTTAAGGAAAAAGAACTTTTAAAAAAATCCTTCATTTTGGTTTAATAATTAAAGCAACTGCTGAAATTTCTCACAGATATTATGTCCAACATCTCTATAATATTAGCCATAAAACTAAACAAAAAGTTGATGGCACAGAAGACTGGCCAATCCCATTGACAAGGTTGAGTCAACAAGACTGAGTTCCATCTTGGGGTGACTCACCTCTGCAATCTCCACTTTCCTCTCCCACATCTTGATGGTCTTCTCCAGGTCCCTATTTAAGATCTTCTCCCGGACGTACATCATCACTGGCGGCACCCGGAACTCAGCCATCTGCTTCCGCAACTTCCTGTTCACAGCCTCTGCTTTGGCCCGGTCCTGTGATGGGATGGAAAAGTTATCAGAGGAAACCTTAGTGGTTTCTGCTTTGAGGACCTGCTGATCCTACCATTTTTCCTCCCAGTCTCAATGTAATTCTAAAAATAAGGGTTAAATTTGTGAATGGTGGGGAAATCACAACTTTCTGTGTGTCTATGTGTCTCTGAACACATTGTGATGTTTTAATGTAGTTGAAAAACACCAATTTTCCCCTTCCTTTCCCTTCCCTTCATTCCTTTCTCTTATACATTTCTTTCTTCCTTTCCTTTGTTAAGGAATGTACTTATTTTGACTTTTTACATTTTTTCTGTATAAAAATATATTTAAGTATATTTTTATTTTATTTTTATAATTTATTTTGAAGGTAATAAAACAAAATATTGAATTTCAAAAACAAGACAAGGACATCCCCATAGTTGCTATATTGTGTATTGTTATACTCTAAACAGATGCTCCAAGTACCATTCCCAGGCCTGCAAAGTCAATCAATACAAGCACTAAGTTGCTTTTGTACCTTAGTTGCTATCATCCTAGCCTGTGTTTCTCCAAATCAGCCAGTTGCCTACATGACAAGGGGCTCCTGTCTCCTTGCCTATGCACCACCTGACTCACAGGAAGTGCTGGCTGACTTCCTTGTTCTTAAGTATATTTTTTATTTCATCCTCATTCACTGCCATCTCATTATTGTTATCAAATACACGTAACACAATTTGCTACTTTATGCATCACTTCACTAGCATTAAGTATATTCAAATTGTGGTGCAACCATCATCACCACTCATCTCCACAACTTTTGTATCTCCTCAGACTAAAATGCTGACCCTTTAACAATCAGTCTCATTCTCCCCTCTTCAAAGTTCCTGCTGACCGCTATTCTTTCTGGTACCATGAACTGACTGTAGTAGGTATCTAAATGGAATCATACTGTATTCATCCTTTGGTGACTGCCTTATTTCACTTAGAATAATGTCCTCAAGGTTTATCCATGGTTTATCATGTGTTAGAATGCCCTTCCTTCCTGTTAAAGCATAACCATTGTGTGAACATTTTGTTCATCTATTTGTTCACAATGAATACTAGGTTTCTTTTACCTCTAGGCTACTATGAATAATTCTATTTTAAATATGAATATGCAAAAAAAACAATTCAAGCTCTGCTTTTAATTTTAATTTTTAATTTTAATTTTTAAAATTATAAAATTAGTCTTTTTAAAAACTAGTCCACTTAATTCAGTAGATTTTTTAAAAATTAGCATTGTCCTTTTTTTTTTATTTTATCAATTGTTTGTGTAGGCAACACATTTGAAAAATAACATGCTGCATGCCTGTAATCCCAGCAATTCTGACGCTGAGTCAGGAGGATTGTGATTTCTTAGTAACTTACTAAGACCTTGTCTCGAAGTTTTTTTAAAAAAGGAGGCTGGCGGCTGGGCATGTGGCTCAGTGATAGACCTCTTGCCTCGCATGCACAAGGTACTAGGTCCAATCCTCAGTACCACTACCATCACCCAAAAAAAGCCAGAACCATAAAACAAACAAAAAGTCCAAATATCTTTATTAAATGAAAATGTTAAAGGCATAAACTAACTCAAAATGCAAAACCATCTCCATTATAAAGTATAAAATTCACAGTGCCAAGCTCCCATTACCACCTCGCATCCTACTCATGGAAGTCCCCTTCCCAAAAGCATATAGTAGTAGTTTTTGTGTAGCTTTCCAGAGATTCGGGCCAATAAAATACGTTTCTTTTTTCTATTATTTATTTTAATGCAATACAAGTAGATATTAGTAAAGAAAATATAAAACACTTTTCTGTCATGAAAAAATAAAATTTCATAAAATAATCAGAGAACAATGATGGTCAATATACTGCATAGCATGATCCTGAAAGTTTGGCCAAAATATTACAGTGTAAGACAAACACAAAAGATTATTTCTTATGATGAAGAATGTTTCTCTTTTTTGACCCAAAAGGTAATGCATTCTTTTCATTTTTTTATTAATCTGGCTTTTTTTCACTCAATCTTGAAGCTTCCTTTGTATCAACATGTGATTTGTGCACTATTTTTGACAGCTGCATGACTTTCCCTGGTGTACATAATTTAAGAAGTCCTCTGTGAAGAGTCACTTAGCTTTTTCATTTCATGCTGGTATAACAAATACTGCTGCTGTTCCTAATCTTCTGAGTACAGCCACATTGTAAAAACTCAAGTTTATCAGTAGGACCAACTACTAAGAGTGAAATTGATAGTCCTAGTGGTTCTCACCAGAGGTGATTTTGCCCCCAAGGGATATCTGGCAGTGTCTGAAGAAATTGTTGTCACAGATAGGGAGATACTTCTAGCATTTGGTAGAATAAAGCCAGGGGTGCTACTATATAAGACAGCCCCTCCCAAAGAGAATTATCTAGCCCAAAATACCAGTAGTACCTCAATTGAGAAACCCTACCCTAAGCATATGTGTATGTTCATATGTGCTAATTTAATTCTAAATTGCTCTCCATAACGATAAAGTAAATTACATTTCTGCAGCAGTGGTTGTGACTGCCTGTTTCCCTCCATTTGCTAACTGCATTCTTATCAAACCCAATCTTTGTTAATCTAGAGAGAAAATAATATCCCATTATAGCTTCATTTTGTAGCCTTCCCATTATGAGCAAGGCAGAATAGTTTTACATGTTTGAGATTTTTTAGCTTTTCTATACAAGTATTTAAAGCCTCATTTTTTCTATTAGTTCATTTATTATTTTTAATTTGTAAAACTTTTTGAAAAATAAGTAGTTCCTTTTAATTCCAGCTACTTAGGAGACTGAGGCAAGAAGATCAAAAGCTATAGGCCAACCTGGGCAATCTAGCAAGAACTGTCTCAAAGTAAAAAAATTAAAAAGGCTACGGATGTAACTCAGCATTTGCCTAGCATTTGTGAGGCCCTAGTTTCCATCCCCAGCAACCCCCCACCACCACACACATACTAGTTCCTTGTGGTGTTAGATCTGTTTTCCAGTTATTTTTAATTTTCACTTTGTTTACAGTTTTTGCCTTGCAGAAAACTTTCTATTTTTATTTAACTGACTTAATTGATTTCATTCTTTTGTTTTATATTTTTTGAAGGGTTTTCTCATTCTAACATTATTACAAAATCTTCCTATTTTCTAAGGACATCGATAATTTTACCATTTACATTCAAATCTCTGATATACCTATCTTAACTGCAGCATAAGATATAGTTCATTTTATTTTATCACAAACTGCTACTGAGTTATACCTAATCTTTTATTCAAATATCTAGCTGCCCTTTGCTTAATGTAATGCCACCTTTATCATAAAGGTCACACATATATCGATCACAAATATGTATTATATATGATCGATACTGGGCTAACTATAGGCCTTTATGTATTTTTCTTTGCATTTCCAGTCTATTAATTAGCATGCTTTTAATGATGTAACTCATAACATTGTCAGTATCTGAAAGATTTAGCCCTTTTATCTACATAT